GGGGGAGTATATTTAATTTTAAGCATTTAAGCTTGAAGGGGCAAAGGGGGCTCGTTCTTGAAAGGGGAGTGAGATTGCTTTGTGCCAACATTAGGCTTGATTTGAGGCACGGATACCTTTGTGAACGGCGAAAGGTGTTTCAAGCCAAGTTGTGACATCTTTTGCGGCCATAGGTTTTGCGATCCAATATCCTTGTCCGTAAGGGCAACCCATACTTTTGAGGAGCTCAAATTGGTCTTGAGTTTCAATGCCTTCTGCTGTGACGTCAACTTTCAAGGCACGTCCGAGTTCGATAGCACTTTTGACAATGGCGTTTGCATGAGCATTGTGTTCCATCGCTTGAACAAAGTGTTTGTCGATTTTGAGAATATCTATAGGCAAATCAAGGAGATATTGCATGGATGAAGCGCCAGTTCCAAAGTCATCAATGGCAACTTTGACCCCTTTTTCTCGGATGCGAGCAAGGGTATCTGCAATACGGTCGATATCGTCTGCAAGAGCACTTTCTGTCATTTCAATCTCAATGTTTTTTGTAGCGACCGAAGAGATGCTGAGTTGTTGGAAAAGATAGTAAGCTAAATCTTGGTTGATTAAGTTTTTTACAGAAAAATTAAGGGCCAGTTTGGGGGAACGAGGGAGCTTCTTCCACTTTTCAGAATCTTTTAAAGCTTGGCGCACAACCCATTTTGAAAAGGGGTGAATCAATAAAGTTCTTTCTGTCATAGGGATGAATTCTTCGGGAGAGATTGGACCAAGTGTTGCGCTGTTCCAGCGGACAAGCGCTTCAAGGTCAATGGTCCTGCCTGTTGTGAGCTCAACTTTGGGTTGATAAAAAAGGGAGAGTTCTTTTTTTTCTAAAGCTTGATGTAGGGCATGTCTGATGTTGACGTTTTTAGTGGCTTTTGCTTCGTCTTTTTCAGAAAAAGTCTTAAAATCTCGACCCGTATGAATACATTGGGCGGCTGCGATGTGTCCATAGCGTAGAAAGTCGGAAAATCCAATCCCTTGATCTGGATAGGTAACAAGGCCATAGTGAGGTTCTGCAAGCAGGGGGACGTTTCCAATTTGAAAGGGTTGAAAGAAAGCTTGGCGACATTGGTGCAAAGCTTTTTGAGGGTCTTCATCATGGGGAATGAGGAGGGCATAAGACCGTGGTGGGAT